CTTTTTACTGAAATTTTATACACACATCAATCAGTTGAATAAGCATCAGAAGATTAATCTATAATCAAATAATTACCCCTTCCTAAGTCTTGCCCCTTTTTTGCTCTGTGCTCCAATAACGGTTGAGCAAGCTTCAGTTAGCTTTCTGTAAAGGAATAAATAATAATACATTTCCTTTCCTAGCTAATGTTAGCAAAACGTTGCATAACTGGCTAGCTAATTTACATCATTCTTTAGTTAGCTACTTAGCTGATGCTTTGCTAACATTAGCTAACTTAAGATATGTTTTATCTTTTAACCACTTTCAACATAGATTAGCCTAGCACATAAGTACAGGAAAGGAGAAAGTTGACCGAGGTTCTGGCTTATGAAGGGTCAGGCGTTAATTACAGTCCTTAAGTGTTCAGGTCTAAACTGATCAGTAGTTCAACATTTAGCAATGTGCTATGTGCACAGTAAAATTTATGCAGACATTTTATTAGGTCAAACGAAACTGGCCATAATGTGTGGTTTCAAATCAATTATGGGTTATCTAACGTATCACAACTGTGATTGGTTCATCCTCAATAAGATGTCTCTTTGCAGGTGGCAGAGACACAGCGGGGCTAGGTGGGAAAGGAGGCCCCTATCGTCTAGATGCAGGGCACAAGGTCTACCAGGTTTCCCAGGCGGAGAAAGATGCTGTTCCAGACGAGGTCCGCAGGGCAGCCCGTGAAATGGGTGAAAAAGCCTTTAAAGAGAGGTCAGTGGCTTTAAAAATACAGTGATGACGTGCTAAAAAATGCCTGTCTGAGGGACTTTTTCCACTTTGGAAACTACCCGTGTGTAACATGGAACAGGTGTGTGTGTGTCAGCTATCCCAGGTACGGTGCTCCATCCTGGACAAAAAACCACAGGCTGCAGTTTCCCAGCTGGATGGATGAAGGCAGTAGTAGATCCCACTGTGCAGTGTCTATGTGTCTTTATGTTTACACACATTCGCTTCAGAGTGGAGGGTTGAGAGGGCACCCCTTTCACCAGCTCAACCGTGAAGGCTGTCTCTGTTCCCCTATGCTTCAAACAGCCTCGTTCTCTTAACTTTCCTTTCTCCCCATCCCCCTAGTCCCCTCCTTTCCTGTGCGGCTTGTCTCATACACTGGCTTCTTTCACATAACCTTTCTGACTCCTCTCTCTTCTCTGATTTTGTCTCTACTCTTCTTATTTGTAGTAATTTCACTTGTTTTTAAAAAAATTTCTTTGACATCCTTTCCCTCCTTCCCCCCTCCCTGTCTTCTGCCTGTCTATCAGTGTCCCACTAAGCCCGGGGAAAATCTTGTAGCTACATGCTGATACCCTGCTTCCAAGCAGATGTCACTGTGCTTAAGTGTTCTTTAATGCAGCAGGTGAGCACACACAGGAGAAATATTTTTCATATAACAGGCCAACTGTGTCAGGCTTTTTCCATACCTTCTCATTCACTGATGTGTGCGCACAATCCTTTGTTTATTTACATTAGGTTAAGTATCAATCAAACTCTGATCCTTCCGTAATTCCTTGAGTAGCTGACACACACACACAAGCAAAAACAGGCTTAGGTATGCCCACGTGAGCATGCACACACATACTCACACTTCTATGGATATGTTTCTGGCTCCATACCTGCCAACCTTCCTATATTTTCTTGCTAAAAATTAGATGGTGGGCCTATGACCACCGATTTGAAGCCTAATTAACAGGACTGGATTTAAAAACTGCATAGCTAAAGGAATAACAACATTTAATTCAATAACAGATGAGGGACCACTACATTTTAGGAATTTTGAAAGATGAATATAATCTAGAAAAGCAATACTTTTATAGTTTTTTACAATTACATAATTATTACTAGATATTAACGACCCATGGCTAAAAGAAGTTCTATGAGCCTGTTTGTCAGAGTTAAACAGAGGTATTGTATCCAGACTGTATAAGAAACATCACATACAGAAATAACACATTCTACAGAGTATATTAAAAATAAATGGGAAAACAGAGGTGCAATAGTACAGGTGCATCAACTCGCATACTTGGAGAGAATTTAGATGAAAGTCTCAAATTAGATTTTTTATTACGCAGAATCACCAAGCACTCTTCACAGGAGAAGATTTAAAGTACTGTGTGGCAGCCAGGATGCCACACATTACCTTTCCAGTTTTATTTTTGGAAAAGTTGACTTTCATTCAGGAAACTTATTTATATAAGCGAATATTTATATTTGGTGTTCTGATATATGCTTATAAAAAACATGATTCCTGACTCCCCGCAATAGAGCCATTTAGATATATAGTTAATCAAGTATACATGATGGAAAAAATTACTTTAAAAATATGCACCAGTGTGTAACATTTAGGAGATTTTTTGGTTTGAATGAGTATTTCAGACTTTGTGCGTTAAAAAGTTCCGCCTACATAGGTCGCATTTGCCTACCTGGGTCGAACCACAACTGAGAAACAATTTTATCTGTAATGCCAACTTAAAGGAACCAGTGTGTAGGATTAAAGGTGGAATTTCTAGCGGTATTGTTGCAATTGTAACTTGGTCGTTCACCCTCATCTTTCAAGTGCTACAGTTGGCTGCAATACAACTTCATATCTAGAGGCAGTGGTTATGGTTTGTCCCTTCTTCGGGCTACTGGCGGAAAACATTGGATTATTCATATTTCAGGCGAACTTCCTTGGAAGGTGACGCCTTGTCGCGTTTGTAGATACTAAGGGAGTTCTCAACCAAAAAATACGCATTTCTTGGTTTATTCAGGTGATTATACAACTAATTGAAAACATACATGAATATGATATTCTATTTTCTGACGTAGATC